CAGCAGCAGCAGCAGCAGCAGCAGCAGCGGGAGCAGGCAGCAGCAGTTGCTGCTGCACTCAAGGAGCAGCCCTCTCCTCATAACCCCTCCTTGCAGCAGCGGGGAGTACCACATAACCTTGCTGGTCAGACCCCTGCCGCAGCAGCAGCAACAGCAGCAACAGCAGCAGCAGCAGCAGCAGCAGCAGCAGCAGCAGATGAGCTACGCAGCAACCCACCAACGCCCCATATGCGGGGTGTCTGTACAGCTCGTCCTCGACCGCAGCAAAATACAGAGCCAGCGAATTCGTACCCTCTCCATCAGCCGTCTCTCTATCAGGGGGCCCCCCACACCCAGGGGGCCCCCCACACCCTGGGGGCCCCCCACACCCAGGGGGGCCCCCACACCCAGGGGGCCCCCAAAAGATACAAACCCTGGGGGGCCTTGGGGGCCCCCTCCACTCACAATCAACACCAGAGAGGGAGAGAAGATAGGGGCCCCCACACAACCGCCACGCAGAAACGATGATGGGACCCGGGCATCGGAGCAGCAGCAGCAGCAGCAGCAGCAGCAACAGCAACAGCAACAGTGGCAGCAGCGGCAACCACAGCAGCAACGGCAGCAGCAGCAGCAACAGCAAGAGCGGCAGCAGCAGCAATCACAGCAGCAGCAACGACAACAGCAGCAGCCACAGCAGCAAATGCAGCAGCAGCAGCAACAACAGCAACAGCAACAGCAACAGCAGCAGCAGCAACAGCAACAAGAACAACCGCAGAGCAGGCAGCCCCTTACTCTGGGGGCCCCCCAGGAAGGTGCTGCAAGTGTAGGGGCCCCTGGGGGCCCCCCGGGCCCCACACCCGCCGCTAGCAGCAGACAGATGCAGGCTGATGCTGCAGCAGCAGCAGCAGCAGCAGCAAAGGAAGCTGCAGCAACCCCTGGGAGATCTCCCGTTGCTGCCTCAGGAGGAAGGACGCCGAGGTCTGCTGCTGCTGTTGCTGCTGCTGCACTGGACGCAGCAGCACCGGGCTCTGCAGCAGCAGCAACAGCAGCAGCAACAGCAGCAGCAGCAGCAGCAGCAGCAGCAGCGCCTGCCACCCCTAGATCAGCAGCAGCAGCAGCAATAGCCCTAGCAGCAGCACTATCTCCGCGCTCAGCAGCAGCAACAACAAAAGCAGCAGCAAAAGCAGCAGAAATGATGGGGGCCCCCGTACCCTCTCCCCAGTCTGTGTTGCCTGCTGGATCAGGGGCCCCCTTATCGGCCCCCTTAAGGGTCTCGCGCCCCCAAGGGGCCCCCCTGGGGGCCCCTCAGGGGGCCCCCCTTGGGGTCCCCCCTGGCACAAAGGGGCCCCCCCCTATTCAACTAACACGCACACATCTACGGCAGATGATACAGACACCGACGGGGGAGCCACTGGGGGCCCCCAGGGGCCCCATGGGGGCCCCCCTACAAGAGGGTATGATTTCGTCTGGCGGTGCTGCTGCAGCAGCGGCGGGGGCCCCCATGCATGCAACACCCCTTACACCGATGAGGGGGAGCTGGGGGCCCTGGGGGGGCCCCCCATATGGGGCCCCCCTTGGGCCCTTCTTGGCTGGGGATATGCATGCAGCACCAGCAGCAGCTGCTGCTGCTGCAGGTTGGGGGCCCCTGCAGCAGCCTCATGTTAGTGGGGCCCCCTTCGGCCTTGTGACCCTTCGGGGGGGCCCCCAGGTTCAAGGGGGGCCCCCCTCATGGGCAGCAACTCCTTGGGGGGGGGCCCCCCAACAGACACCTCATATTTCTTCAGCTGCAGCAGCAACAACAGCAGCAGCAGCAGCAGCAGCAGCAGCAACTCCACGCGGTTCGCTTCGTGGACCTTCGGCAGGCTTTAGGGGCCCCCTGACGCCCCAGGGGGCCCTCACCCCTCGAGGGGGGCCCCCCCTGGCATTCCCCCCATGCAGGGTACTGTACCCTGCTGGGGGCCCCCCAGTTTGTTCTGTCGCTGCAGTGTCTGTACACCCCACAACCCCCCGTGAAGCAGACCGAGGCAGTGCTGGGGGTTCAAACCCAGCCTTGGGGGCCCCCGGGGGCCCCCCCCCCTCGTTCCCTCTAGGGGCCCCGGGGCCCCAAGCGGCTTCTGCACTGCACAGCGGGGGGCCCCCAGGGGCCCCTAGAGGCAGATCTCCTCTCAGTGTTAGGGGGGGCCCCCTTGGGGGCCCCTCACCTGACAGCTGCAACAGAGGGTACAGCGTAACCCCAACGTACAGGCCCACCAGGTACTGCAGGGAGGCATTGACAGAGACATTGAGGGGCCCCCAGGGGGCCCCCCATGGGGGCCCCCTTTTGTTTGGGGCCCCCAGTGTAGCGGGGGGCCCCCTGCTGACTACTACTGGCTGTAGGCTTGTGGGGGCCCCCCTGCGAAGGTCTCCTAGCCTCGCGAGGCCCTCCTTTGTGGGGATGCCGGGGGGCCCCCTCTGCAGCACTCAGGTACCCATGCATCCCAGCAGCAGCACCAGCAGCAGCAGCAGCAGCAGCG